GTAATACATTGCATATTTTTTCCCAGTGCAGTACTTTCTTACGATTGCAAAAATTGCAGAAGTATATAAGACACTTTGTAAAACACTTGTAAAACGCACGGTTCATTACAAGTACGAAATTGGAGGCTGCGCCACTCCGCGGCACAATTATCTCGGTTTCCATCCCATCATGTCCCGTCAAATTGCTTAAGACTTAGTTCGCCTAAAAGCGAACATGCATAGAGTGCTGTCACTCTGCACGAATCTCAAGAAAACGTCGTCCTCGACCCTGTCAACTCCAGGTCGACGCGCGAAGTCTCCTCGCTGATCGGCGGCGTCCTTATTAAACGCAGTCGGCGGCTCCTTCAATTTCGTACTTCAATCGAGCATACCTAGACCCTAAAATTGATGTCCCTCGACACTCGCGGACTCTCGTAATCATAACTTTGCGTCTCACGGGGACCGCGCGGATATAAGGGCGCGTATCCGTTATCCGTCGCCTCTCCTGCTGTCACGCGACTGCTTGGTAACATTCCCTGGCATTCTGAAAAGGTCATACTAGTCGGTAATGGCCATGGTCGTGTGCCGCATATGCTGATGGACGGGCGCGAGAAAGGGAGAGAGACGGAATTGAGTTAGCTACATCTAAAATACAGCCCCCGAGGGGTCAACCGGCACCATTCTTCGAAAAGAAATTTTTAATGCAAAAATGGAAAAATAGACGCTTTTCTCCTTCTTCTCCTTGCCTCTCCTTTCAATGGAACTTCTATTTAAAGTTTGTTCTATCCAAACATTCGCGACCAACGTGATGGAAAGTTGAAAAGTTTTCGAGGTACCAATAGTTTTTAATTACATGCAACTACTGTTAAAGGCCCTTTGCAAATTAAATATTCAAAATGCATTAATTCCGGGCAAATTTTTTCCAACAGAGAAAGAACTGAAGGAATTTAAATTTGAGATTTCATTGCAAATGTATATTAACGTCATGGTCGGTTTAAAAGACTGTAACAAACTGATTATGAGATTTAAATATACTTTTGAGTTAAAATATACTTTAAATCTTAGACAATTGTGTGTATCGTATATATATCTTTCATGGAAAATATTCAAGCAATCTTTCATCGCTTTATTTTATCAATATTATTCTCGCTTGAAGACAAATTATGTTTCTTGCGAAATGTAGATTAAATGAAAGTCGGAGGAAAAAGGGAAGTGGAGAGAAGATTAATTCGCGGCAAATTTTCGCATTGCATTGTTCGAATTGTACGCCTTCGAATTTGAAACGTCACGCCTTTAAGCATGACAGCGGAAATCGTTCCTGGCCGCTCAGGGAGTTGTAACTTTATTAGTTAACAGAAAGTTAGAATTAATAAGGCGCTAAAGCTTACGATGAACTTTATGACGATCTTATCGAAGTCCCGTTGTGCTGCACGCTCGTAAATGTAACAAGTACTTCACCAGCTATCGATTTCCTACTGACAGTCACGTCATAGAACGATTTGCCACCTTTATCGTACCTGGTTATCACTTCTATTCGGCTCTTTGTTCACCGATATCCTGAGTCTTCCCGCAGTCTTCCCAAAGTTAATGCATTTCATTGCATAAATCAGATCGACTTATGCATCTTGTATTCTCTCAGTTCTTCGTTTCATTTATCCTCTTCAATTTTCTCAAGTCTCTTATGTACCATACATACGCTTCATCAATTATTGAAATTGTTGTTACACGATAAAGTCAAGAGCTATAATATTGTACGAGCAAATTAATATCGTTACATCGTAGACGTCGATTTGTAAGTGACGTGAATAATTTGAGAGAAAGAGCGGATGACGAAATAGCAAATAATTATAAAAAATTCTTCCATGCTCGGTGCACACTTTGGCCGGATCGCGATCGGCACGCGACCTGACCCGAAGCGTTGTCGTACTACTATTAAGTAGTAACCACTGCGTGAGCGACGCCGTCCGATACCATCGGTCTACGACTACTGCGCCTGACAATAGCATACTCGGTATTCATCGCTCTTTTTCAGCGGACCGATGTAGGTCATGGTGATATCGCATTCAGAATTCTTTTTTTTTCTCATCACCCACGGTGATTCGCTACCATCCCCTTTCGTCACCTCTCGCCGCTCTTCTGCCAACTCTCTCGACACGCTTATCTTCGTTATTTCTCTTTAAGCCCTTTATGTCAACTCTATATTGCTGTAGATGGTTTTAATCTTTCGCGAGAATTGTTTTACGCTTTTGCAACATTTGTTTAATATTCGCACCATATTGCAAGACATCTGAGATCGCGATAAATCCAATGAAAACAACATGATTGTTTATTAAATTTCAAAATCAAATTTTTTTCTTTTTAGCGATAATTCAACCAAATATTTTATTTCAATCGCAATTCTTTTTTTATGTCTTCGAGATATGTTAAATATTTTAATAATAAAATTACAAATTATTATCCTGATTGATGAATAAATTTATGCTCGAACACTCATACAAAGATGATTAATGTTTATAATAATAATTCAATTAAAACAACATGATTGTTTATAAATTTCAAAATCGAATTTCCTTTTAGCGATAATTCAACCAAATATTTGGTCTTATTCGCAATTCTTTTTTATATTTTCGAGATGTTAAATATTTTAATAATAAAATTATAAATTATTATCCTGTTTGATGAATAAATTTATGCTCGGATACTCATATAATACAAAGATGATTAATGTTTGGATAATTTCTCTCGAACGACAAAGTTGAATTAATTGAGGGATAGCTTCACGGTAAGCTGTCCATTTAATTCTAAGATACCCTGTACATATTTTTGCGATGACCGAACCGCTCCATCGCAAGCGAAATCCCGCATGAATATGCAATATTCTTAAGCCTCAGCTCGACTGTTAGCGCACGAGCGAACGTCGACGGCCCTCAACCCAACAATGGAACCTTTTGTAACCAGGATTTGACTATCCCATTCTTTGCGGCACGTAATCAGAAGAGGCAATCCGCGGAATTTGGGTTGATGTGGTTTCTGAAAGTAGACTATATGTAGGAATAGGACGTGCCAGAAAGAGAAAACGTCAAAGGGAATCAAAATGCACCAGTTCTCTTCTTGGTTGGCGAGCCATATTGCGGACAAAAATTCAATAGAATCATAAAAGAGTAAGAACAAAATACGTCGAAACATCGCTTTTATTCTTCCATCTTTCCTTGCAGCATTTTAACCATTTCGTTACTTACATAAGTGAATATATAGGATAATCCTAATATAACTCAATGTGTTTTAAGCATATTCAGATATTGAAAAAAGAATGAAATGCTTGCGAAAAATATTTCACGATAGCATTAAAAGTATTTTCGAAATTCAGAAATTTTATATTAATAGTGTTTTCGACACATACAAATCTTACATATTACAAGCCATTTTATTTTGCAAATATTCCTGTCGCGCGATCACAAATACAGAATTTCTTCGATCATTATTACGAAAAAAGAGATTATAGAACAAATAATAACTGATAATTAACGCGCTTTTAAATCAAATGTGGCATGATTGCGTAATATTGCAACTCAACGTGCGAACATAATTACTGATATATACCGTTTCATTGACGTCACATGATTCATACATATCAGATTCATGTGAACTGTCATTCAAGCACACTCGCGTGATAATATATACGGAATTGTCTGAGGTGAATGACGGTGATAAATTTCGACAATAGGTTAAAAAATTCGACCGAAAATGTGACCGCGCGCACAATCACATTTTCGTTCCAATTATCTGTCGATCAAACCTTTATATTTTCGAAGCTACTGAAAACGTGTTTCCCTTCTAATAGACGAAAAGAATTTCTCGCATTGCGAGATCGTTTCATCGCTGTGTAAACGACGGGGTGGAACGTTCGTTCTGCAACGACTCGATTATTCCCTCGTTACAAGTCGTTGCGAGCTCGCTACGGTTGTGCAATCGGTGATTTCATGTCGTGTATTTCATCATCGTATTTTTCAATCACTTTTTTTATACATGCGCGCATTCTCGTCGTCGATTTTCAAAACTTTATTATTAAAGAGAGAATTCTAAAAAAAGTGTGTTCGGAACAAAACTTTCAAACAAAATGACTTATTTCTTTTTCATCCTCGTATTTTCACGTTTCAAATTAATGCATTTATTTATATTTCCAGACATATGAGAAAAAAATATAATTAAAAAATAAAAATTAAAAAAAACAGCTATTTTACTTTTCGTTTACTTCTAATATTGTTTTGAAATCTCTGATGTGTAAATCATAATGGTAATTAGAAAATAGGTTCCGAGGGAGAGAGAGACAGAGAGAGAGAGTCGCAATTACTCGTTGCAATGAATCGCATTTCTAAGAATGCAGTCTCGTCTGGAGTGGTTTAACGAAGTGCCTTAATAAGAAAGCCATATCAAACGGGATGGAAGTTTCCCTTCCCAAAGAGTTAACGTCGAAATAAATTATTTGCACTCGGCGTATACCGTAAATCCAATATAATTTAAGTAGATTTTGCAATTTTATCAACTGGTAACCCACGGACATTAATCTGTTTTAATAGAGCTTATTAAACTCCTTGTTTTTTATTGGAAGAAATGGCTCTACGCGCTTTTTCCATGATTTAATGGAAAATTTCCTCCGATATCTTCTTTTCTGCGAGAAGAGGAAATATATATACACAACACTCTAATCGATCCTTGGTCTCTTAACTTTATTCTCACTTTTTTCTCTGTCTTTTTCCTCTTTCACTTTTTCTGATCACTTGTGCTAACTATCGCTACCAATTTGCCATAATATTGTAAATAAGATTTCAATATACATATATATCATACAATATTCTATTATATTATAAAAATTACTACATTATTATAATATAAATAACTAATTATTTTTATAATCGCGTAATAGAAGAAGCTCTTCTCTCCGATTCTTTTAGCAAACAAATCTAATCTGATATTTGTTCTCTCTTTCGCGCTAACCATCCCGCTCGCTTTTTCTGTTGCAGCGACCACTCAATCAGCAACCGCGTGGACCGTCGCGGACACCCAACATATTGCGAGTGCGGCGAGGTGACGAGGCCCTTATGACGACGCGAGGAGACGGCTGAGAGTGCCCTGGCCACATCGCAGTCCGATTTCTAGGCCCCGTTCACTCTGCCCGTCCTCGACCGTCCTCGACCGGCCGTTCTTTGGTGCCGGCAAAATCTCTGTCTCTCGTTTGAACTCTAAACTCTGCATGTTTTCCGGCAGCATTTCATTCCGACCGTCCCCGTTCACGGCATCGCCGTACGTGTACAAATCAACATTCGCGTCGAAAATGCATACATGAACACGTACGAACGCAGAGACACACACACACACATACACACGGATACATACAAATATATACACACATATATATATATATATATATATATATATACGACTGATGCAGGAACAGGAAACGATCCTTCGATTCTCCCGACGAACTTGTCCGCTGACTATAAAGAGTAGAATTGCTCCCGCGGGTAGTTGCTGCAACGTTACCACGTGGTTATTGCGTGGTTAATTGGTACAAGGGCGGTTCGCGGCTAGTAATTACCAGTGACTGTGCCGGTGGTAATTGAGTGATCGACGCGATTATATAAAGCGCGCACGACGATGAAAAGTAAACCGTTTGCGTGATGCGTATCTTGCGATCTGGACGAAAGGTAAGGCACAAATTGGCTATCATGTGTAAGATGAATAAATTTATTTTACACCGAGATGTATAACATTACAAAACGGTGCATTACATGCTGAATGACGTTTCGTTGGGTAATTATCAATTATTAATAATGTTCGAAAAGTAAGATTTTTTTTCACGCGTGACATTACAGTATAGAAAATATTAAATCAGTTTATCCTTTATCAGTATTGAAAAAAAGGATGAAGCTGATTCTCGGAGGAAAAATTATTTTTGCATATATGACAAATATAATACAAGTATTATATATGTATATATATATATATACATATATTAATGATTGCGATTTGAATATGAGAATGCTCGAGATGAAATATGATATGAAAATGCTTGATATAAAATATGATACTCAATCGTTCCGCTGAAATTCAAGCGCGCACGAGATATCTATATATTCTAATTTTATAACAACATTTCATAAACAATCACTGTTGGCCTACGCTCGCGCTAATTAATTTCATTTGACGATATCGGGCGCCTTTGAATCCTTTTGACGCATATGAATATAAGTTTAATAATTAATATTTGCCGGTCAATCTGCAAACAATGACAAAAATTATGAAATAATAAAGCGATAAATTGAGCTTCAAATATTTTCAAGTAAATAAGAAGCCCCGTGTAAACAAGGTTTAGGCTTTCTCTATTACGTATGAAATTCTGGAAATGCTGAATAAACATAAACGTTCTGCTTGCACATCCAGCCGCCAGTTTACTCACACGTTTATTGAAAGTTTTCACCCACGTATGACCGAGGTGAATGCGTTTCAATTGGTTGCGCACGTGGTTGGAAAAGTCTACGCTCGCAAAATTAATCGGAGATCACCTACGAATCTTTTTGGATTTCAGTATTGTGATCAAAATTAGATCGATAAAAACAGCGGAATCAAAATTCGGTATAATTATACATATATTTATTAAATTAAATTAATGAAAGATAAATATATCATTTATTTTAAAATATTTTATAATAATTATCTTTAATATTTACTCTGCTCACTTCTATTTTTTTTTATATTTATATTTCTATTTTCGCGTTTTAAATTAAAAAATTTTAAGTTTTTTCCGTTTTATAATACATAGAAAAAAATATTGTATAAACACACATATATACACATATACATACACACATATATATTTTTATCTATAGAAAAATATTTTTATATAATTCTCTTTCGGTGATATTGTAGCACTCTCTTTTTCTATTGTCTATTGATTCAAAATTTTCTTTTACGCATAAGAAAGTCTCGCGAAAAATTTTCGTTTAGCGACTCGCAAATAAATGGACCTATCTCGAATCTATCTGCGAAATCGATCGGCACAACTGTAAACCTCGCGACAGCCAATTTATTTTCCTGCCACTAGAAAGTCGTTATTCTCGAGAAACCGTTGAAATGAGAAAGCAGAGAAAGAGAGAGAGAGAGATGTCGAGTTCGAGGCTCGCGGGGAACGAAATAGGTATTCCCGTTGTTCCCGTTTTCCCGACGTATAGAGTTGAAAGAGCACAGTCAGAAATATAAGAAATCAAGAAACGAAAGTTGACATTCGGATCATTCGAAAATGTCGACGTTCTAACTCGTTTCATTATCGCGCGATATTAAATCTTCACCAATCCTGAACGCTGTAATTCGGGTCGCGGATATCTTTCAGACATTTTATTTGTTCTCATTTCTTCTAGAGTCAATCGATCGAAGTCAGGCTGCGAGAAAAATCGGATAATGTGCAATATTCGCATCGAATGGTTTTAGGCCGCTTATATAATTCATTTTGACATTAAATTGCACTGAAGAAACCCGCTGATACGCGAATGCAAGGAAACTACTCGACAAATATTTTCGCAAAAATAAAAAAAAAATTTAAAAGTTTCCGCGGAAGTTTCATGTTAATTTACATGTAAATTCATGCGCAATGCATTAATGTTAACAAGCGCGGTACGAGAACAGGAACAATTTATAGAGAAAGAAAGTAAAATTGCTAATGATCGTCCTACGCAGAGATTATGTAATTTTCTCATTATCAATGAATATGTATAATATACAAAAGAAATGCATCAAAATTATTTGTCAAATCACGCGTGATGTAAATCGTAAATATTTTCCCATGAATATACACATATTTATTAATTATTAAAAATATTATATATATTAATACTTATATTTCTTAATTCTTCCTATTAATATTTATATTGAATATTTATTGTTTTCTAATCTTCGGAAAAGTATACATATACATGAGCGCAATTCCCATGCGGATATTACACTTGAATTCCACCAGCCAAATTGGCTCCCGATAAACGATTTCATATCAATTTCTCTCGAGCCAACGTCCACCGCATGCTCCAAGACGGTTCATTTGTATGTGGATTCGCTTAATGGAAGCTGCGAGCCGCGCCGGGGTCCCGACGGGGATTAATGTACGAAGGGTAGCAGATGCACCACACGAGCCGGGTTAAGTATTACATTGTACGCGTTCGCGGGAAACGCATCCATCTCAGTAAAATATGCATACCAGGGCGTCGGCGCATCCGACTTGGCTCCGAGTGAAGACCCAACAGACTGCATCTATTATCGTCAAGTCTGTTACTGTGACGGCTTTCTCGATAGTAATTACGCGTGCCTACCGATTCTCGCGTGATTTTTTTTACCCTCCTTTCTTCTCTTTTGAACAAAGTCCAACGCTCTCCCTCGTAAATTACTACATGTCCGTAGGGAACGTAGTCGCAGTTACCAAATTTAATTATTTCGAGACTTATGCGCGAGTGTTTGTGTACGAATCGCGCAGAATATGATTAATTGTTTTACGTTATTATGATTCTTGCGAACCGAATCGAAATTCATTGCGTAATTTTATTTGCAACAATATATAATTCAGTCCGAAATGCAAATGTTTCCCTTTGCTCTTTTATCGGTGATCAAACACGACATATACAAACCGCGAATGCAGGTTTCTCTCCCTTTCGCGGAAAACTCGCGAGTACTGTTTCCTATTTAAAACTTGAGCGCAATCTAAGATTAATCTGACAAATAACAAAGCTCTACCCTAGCATTGCGCGCGATAAAAGCAAGGATTGTTTCGGAAATATTTCGAAGCGATAATCGAGCGATCTCGTGCTTCAATGCCGCATCGGTCTTTCTCTCTCATTTCTTTTCTTCTTTTCCTCCCGTACTGATATTTATACGCAGAGTTTCGCGGGGTTTGCGTGCTTCTTTCTGCTTACGAGGGAAACAGTTTTGGAGCCAGTGAAATTCGCCGCGGCATGCAACGCAATTTGCGAGTTCTCTTGGAATTATACAGATACGTATCCACATATGTTCGCGTCGTCGTCGTCATTGGATGGTTTCTCCGATGTAAAAGTGTGTTTTTAATTACAATATTAAATTTCACTTTTGTCATATATATATATATATATATATATCTATTATAATGTGTGCAATATTTTTATTTTATTTTATTTATCTTGTAAGGTTTATGTTCATCAAATTGAAACGAGGACTTTGTATGTGTGTAACTAAAGATATATTAAATTCTCTTAATACCGCGCATCATTGTAATATCGCTGCCAGATTTTAGCTTTTCGGTTGCAAATCAATGCGGTATATCTGCGCCTAAATATCGGCGGAACACAAAATTTACGACACTGTTGTCGACAGGCATGCACGATAAAATTATGCGGAACCGGAAGAGATCGAACGCTACATTACGTTGTCGCATGCTAGATAGCCTAAATACCGCAACAATCACGCAAAATAATGAAACTTTCGGAAACAGAAATTCTTTGCAATTCATGTTCGAAGTTAATTATCCGCCGGAGATATGGATTTATACCTATCTAAATAGCTAATGAGAGTGATTCTAAAAAAAACCAGGAAATTTTATCATTTATTAAATCCATAAGAGAATTATAATTATAAAATCTCCTACATTAATAAAACTCCAATTTAATCTAACCGTTGTAAAATATTCCACGCGCGCGCGAGCACGATTGATATAAATCTTCTACTCTTTATTGCACACGGATTCGAAGGTAGAAAAATTCAAGAATCACGAACAAAATAAACATTCTGCCATTTACGAGTTTCAAGGTTCAAGTCGTTTCCTTTTTCCGCTTTTTACATTAACGATCGAATAAAGTTATTGCAAACAGTAGTGTATGTAAAAAATTTGCCTCATTTAAAAATATATACGCCTGTTTGCAAAAAAACGCACACTCACATCACAACATATTTTTCTTACAAAATTTACGGCCCATTAAAATAATTATGCGTGAAAACGAACATTATATCTTCGCTTCATTTTATTCATGACGTTTCGCCAGCTCTTCTCAGCAGCTCAATTAATCCCACGTAATTATTTATTAATCGCGAAGCGACAATGCTGCGCCTTGATCCTAATCGCTTCGTCCCAATCACGTCGCGCTTCGTCGATAATGTTATTTCGCAATCGCGACTCTTCCAAGGTATCTGATCACAGACACCGACAGCACTGCGAGAGAGCTCCAGATGGCTCGTTTTCATGAATCACGTATCTTGAACGGGAATCTGGGGCAATCGGATGTTTGTGTTATATAAGAGAGAGAAAGAGGAGAGAGAGAGAAAAATCAATTAACGACAGCAAAGGAATGTTACACGAACTTTACATGCATACACACACACACACACACACACACACCTATAAGTGCACCCATTTCGTTGCAAAAGTTCATTTCTACGTAGCCATTGTGCCACGAAGTTTTGATAACGCAAAATTTACGATTTGATATCGTAAAGTATAAAATGTCGAAGTTAAAGATGGATTTTTCTTCAATAATAAGGATAAAAAATGAGTGCGAAAATAATGATGATACGAATATAATCATCACGGTGGTGAAAAGAAAAAAACAGTAATCGATAGGTCGTTTCTTAATCGGTATGCCATCTGTTGCATTCGTCGACACAGCGCGCTCGATGCATTAATGCAAATGCATTTTGCTCACCGTTGCGCGTAGGTGCTTTTGTTTTTTTAAACACGATACAACCGCGTGCAGAGCAATATAAACAAGTCAGAGTATTGCACAAATTGCAGTGAAAAGATGCGTAACGACAGAATTCTTAATTGTGATATACGTGCTTTCTATATCTGTATTTTTTATAGAATACGGTACAGTGAATAAGTAAAGGCTATCGTTCCAGAGAATATAATTACATTAAAAACACATTATCATCGGTATATAATATTAAAATACTTATGTCAGCTGAATGGACTAATTAATTAATCCATTTGACTTTAAATAGCTTTATATCATATTGTAGATAAATTTCGCATTTCGACGACTGAAAACTATATTTTATGCTCGGCTAGAATATATGTTTATTTCAATGGAAACTTTCCGGTTTTCCACAATTATTGAAAATCTCGTTATCGAGAGAAAGTCAAAATAACTGAAAAGCATATAAAGAAGAATGTGAAACATATATAACCGGGGAAAATAGAATGAAAACACACGGCTGTCGTTACATTGTTTCTTTCTCTCAACACGCGCATTTCACAAAAGAAAATTATAGCTTAAAAATATTATAGTTAGAAATTCTACTCGGTAATGTGAGACGACAGAGGCACGCGTCTGTTTCATTAATCGGAAATTGATAGAACGAACATTTTCGAGGGCAGACGATCTCGACGCGTGCCTCCGATATAGCGCGTTTAATTAATTATATGGGCACTGCCAGGCTTGCAAAACTTTAATCAAAAGATACACTGGCCCACGGAGCCGGTGTGATTCAAAGAACCTTAAAAAAAAAATCAAATCGAGCCGCGATTCGTCGATATAAGAATATAAACGTAGACGTTAAGCGGGATCGAGCAGTTATTATATACATATAAGTAGTGAGTCTTTTTCCTATATTATGCCGGTTGTCTCTCGGAAAACAACATCAA